AACAATCTTTCCGCTGATGGTGGAAATGGGAAATTAATGGCCCACAGGCGTTTCCTCTGAGCGAAACTCATTAAGGCCACCTATAAATACATGATATGCTCTTGTAAATACCCAAACAATATTGCCATATTTGAGGTTAGTTAGCTGTTTTATTTGAAATGAAATGGATTAAATATTGCCTACTGTTATGCAACTCCACCCAAGTCAGCTCCCCATCCCCATATATTGGGGATAAGTTCTTGACACACTTGTAGTTGAAAAGAGCCAAACTATCAAGTAGAATAAGACGCTTACCGAGCAACAGAAATCAACTTGGCTTAACTCTTCTCCTTCACTTACCAACTTTCAGTGGCCCCCTGCAAAAGTGTTTGCAGACACAGCATTTAATAATGTAAGACTGCCCTAAGACCTGCCGTTCTGTAATTACACGCGAGTTGGCCAAGAAGCGAGGGAGGCACGCCACTCGACCGCGCCAGGACCAAGAAAAGGACAAAAGGACGAAAGGACGAGAGGACGAGGAGGACCAACAAGTTGCCAGCCCAATCAGGAACTCGATTCCCAGGAAGCGAAAGCAGCAAAACGGCAGCCGTGGATACCAAGGCGCTGCGCAGCTCAGCCACTGCGAAGGTGACGTCGAAGGCGCCCCCGCTGACGACGCTGCCCCCACCGACGACGACCACGCCCCTGACTATTTGTCAGCCGCCCCCGCCCACTCCGCCCTACCAGCGGCTCACCAAGGCGCTGCAATGCGATCCGCGCTGCGGCCACGAGGTGAGTGCAAATTGAAGTGCCTGTGGCGGCGATTCCAAATCAAGGGGTCCGTCTCCAACTGGGCGGCCCACTCCCTGCGCATTTGTAGGTGTTCCTGCTACCCGCGTGGCCGCGTGGCTCGGTTAATGTCAATTACCCCCGCCATTAGTCATGACACTCCGCGGCGGACCAACTTTTTAAATAAATTTCGAGTGAATTGGGTACAGAGGTGCAGAATGCTGGAGATACATATATAAGATTCATAGCCAAGCAGGCACTACGCGTCGTATATGTGATATGGTTCGTACTGTTAGGTTGTATATATCTTAAATCAGCAAGATACACAGTGTCCGTAGTTAAGTAAATTCTTGTTAAGCTGATGAGCGTTTTTATGTGATAGCCCCATCAAAATGACTGCCAATAAATGCAGGAGTTGGGCAATTTTTCACACCCAACCTGAAGGGGCGCTTGATAATTTTGCCATCCCAGCAGCCGGGCCGTAAAGTGGCAAGTATCCTTCGCATCCGTGAGAGCTGCAAATTGTTATGGCTGAATTTATCATCGCATTGTGTCGCGAACTTACGAGTATTGTGCCAGATTCGCGTGTCCTTGTGCACGATGAATTGCATTTCATAAACAAGTGGCTTTTCAATGCAACCTGTTTAGCGGCGCAGAAAAGCGGGGTTACCCCAGCACTCTGACGTCACGGCGAAAGCCAGGTTATTGTCGCTTGTTGTTTTTGGGCCATGCGCGTGTGTGGGTGCGTTAGCTAATACACGAACCCTCTGCTGCAGCGCTGCAATTATGCATGGGTTCAAGGCTAATTTGCTCGGCGATGTGGAGCTACACTTGAAGAAATGCGCATAGCCTGGGTATTTGGAAACCATTGTAAAATGCGCTCATAACACAAAAGTTAAGGCTGTTAATTATTGCTTCAAGTATTTTTTTTAGAAACATTTTCGTGAGGTTTTCAACAAGAACTTGCTTAGATTTCTGGGCAGTGCCCTTGCGGATTTGCTGTCTTTGTGTGAGCTCGTTCGCCGCCCATTTGGGGCTGGCGATGCAGAATGCGCGTGTGACCGAACGCCAGCTATCCGCATTACGTATACGCCGCGTTGCGTTCCTTAATTAGCGCCCGCCCGCCCCTCTCGATGGCCCAAAGGTGGATTAACAAGAGGTGAAGGGAGCGGCCAGCAACAAGCCAAAAGCAGCAGCGCCAACGTCAAGTGCAGCGCACAGTTCAAATTACATTAACAAAAAGAGTACCGCACTTGACCTTGGCTAATTGCAATACCAAGAATGCTTGCACGGAAGACTTCGGGGGCGCGAGTGCATAAATTAGAGGAGCGGTCAATGTTAATTGCTGGAACATGTGTACTTTGGAGTATCAAATAATCGCTGCCTCGGATTACTTAACCTTAGGAAGAGCCTTGTCCCTGACGAGCGTGCTCCGGAAATGCCGCGGCTTTTGACATAAGTTTGATGAAAGCGCAGCTAGAATTTGCATTAGTTTCTCGAGTGGATTGCAAGGACCAAGCAGGCACTGAAACTATATTAACTATTCCGAAATAGGTAACCATCGGCCGTCGCATTGGCCTCTACAGATTCTGTGGCGACATCGGACGCGGCAACTTCTCCAAAGTGAAACTCGCTGTCCACCAACTGACGCGTGGTAAGGCACTCGCCTAAAGGCCCTATCCGGATTAGAAACTAACCCAAATCCTACCGACTTGCAGACAAAGTGGCCATTAAGGTGGTGGACCTGGATCGGGCCGGACTCGATGCCAAGGCGCTGCGTATGCTGTCCAGCGAGATAGCCACTCTCGAGTGTGTCCACCATCCAAATATACTGAGGTGCGAACGAATGCCAGCGCTGCTCTATGTGGGTTCTATATTTTCCGCATGTATTGCAGGCTTTTCGAGGTGGTTGAAACTCTGGGCCGGGTCTACCTGGTCACCGAGTGGATTCGCGGTGGCGAGCTGTACAACCACATCACCCAAGGCGGTCCGCTGAGGGAGATTCATGCGGCTCCCTTGCTGAAGCAGCTCCTCCTGGCAGTCAAACACATGGTAAGCTGACATGGCTAGTGTAATTTAATTGTATCCCAATCAAAAATCAATGCCGCCCACTGGGCATAATTCATTTTAAACCTTTCACAAAGGGATTTATGGGCCATTTAATATTAATTTCCGTGCGTGCTTTTAATATTCAATTACTTATTGATATTTCCCTTCTGCGAAATTAATTGAATTGAATCGCACTTGCAGCACAGTCTGGGCTACGTGCATCGGGACATCAAGGCGGAAAACGTCCTGCTCCTCTCCGAGGATCGCCTCAAGCTGGCCGACTTCGGTTTCAGCACCCAACTCATCAATGGTACGGTCGAGCAAGCAGCTCGCCCCGAATCTGAATCAATCTAATGGCAATCTAATCAATTTCATTCGCCCTGACAGGTGCCAATCAAAAGCTCGACACGTTCTGCGGATCCCCGCCGTACGCGGCGCCCGAGCTCTTCTCCGATGACCACTACATAGGAGCCCCCGTGGATGTGTGGGCCCTGGGCATCCTGCTCTACTTTATGGTCGTCGGAAACATGCCCTTCCGGGCACCCACGATTCCCGGCCTGAAAGCAGCCATCCTGAAGGGCGACTATCTGCTGCCCGGCCAGCTCAGCTTGCCCTGCATAAGACTTATACGTAGGTGGTTAACCAATGAATAAAACTAAGGCTGAACCAAATATCCCTTTCAGAACGCATCTTGATCCACATACCCGCCCAGCGGCCAACCATCGACGACATGCTGAACAGCCAGTTTGTGACCTGTCCCAAGCTCAGTGCAGACCTGATGCAGTGGGAGATCAACCAGCACAGCAAGCCGGTCAAGCGGTCCATCTTCTGGGTGCGCAGCAAGTCCCATCGGCTGCGGAAATCCGCCTCACTAAGGGATCGCTATGCGGAGGTGGTCAAGAAGCCGGCCATTAGCATGAACACCAGGCAGCAGGACGAGATGTTTGTGCAGAACTTCCTGCAACCGATCGAGATGGGCCACGAGCTGCTGGTCCCGGCATCAAGTCAGCTGAAGGAACCACAGTCCACCGAGCAGGCGAAGCGTCCAACCAGGAGGTACATGTTCTGTGGCAGCCTCAAGAAGAAGGTCACGCCCATGGAAGCGGAGCCGGAGAAGCAGCTGGCCAACGGCGGACAGTGCGGTTCGGCCAAGATCAATCCGTGGAACGTGGAGGTGGCCGACGATTGCCCCCTGTTCAAGAACTACGATGCGGAGACGGGCAGCTGCGTCATGCTGCCCACCAACACCGAGGATCTGAGCCAGCTAGGAGCCCTGGAGTTCGAGGCGCGGCAGATCCTGGCCGAGCTGGGCCTGACCACTGAGATGCTGATCAACGCCAGGCAGAGTGGCCCCCGCTCCGACATCATTGGCGCCTACAGGATCGTGGTCAATCGGTTGCAGAAGCAGTCCTGGCTGGCACGGAAGCACGTGGAGATGGCCCTGCACAGCGAGCCCAAGACGGAGAAGCGGATTGAGAGATCGTGCTGCATACTCTAAGACATCCGAAAATAGTTGTTGAATGTTCATATTACTCTCCTGGTTCTGCTGGCTCCTTGGGTTTCCCGAGAGGAAAGGCAAACTGGGGGTGTCTCAGCCACTGTGCGCTTTTGAGAGGAAACTGCGGTTCAAAGAACTCCCTGATGGATTAACAAAAAGTAGCTCAAAATCCTCCCGTTCCAGAGGCTAGTCCATTTTAATCAGCTTTCCATATCCAAGATTATTCTGTGAACTCCCAGTGCTTGATTTTGAACCATCAAATTGAGATTATAAAACCTTATAGTCAATGCAGTATAGAATTTACCTGAACATACAGGAAAGGAATGGGTGAAGTGCTAATTTAAATGCATTTGAAGAACAGGTAACACAGACGGTTCAAAGCCCACTAATCATTGAAGCCAACAACAGAAAGAACTGTCTCCTGGTTTGGTCAGAACCAACTCTGATCTGCAAATCCCAGTTTGCCTTTCTGCGGGAACTAGCCCGGAAGACCAGAGGTCAAGCCCAATTAGTGTCAATTTGCCAGCTGCGTAGCCGCGCGTTTGTTGTTAACGTAGTTTCCTACATCCTCATCTTGGTTACTCAGTCGAGAAAGTTCCTTGGTTCGTGTAGCTTCAGTTTGTCCAGCCGTTGAGTCCAGAGGCGGACAGCAAAGTTGATATATACATATATATAGATATATACATATAGTCCAAGTATTATGTATTTAGTTGTTGGTCCATTTTGAGCATATACAGACGAATATACGAAAGGTAAATGAATATTACGAATACAAACATGCAAATACACACTGGGCTAAGGCGATTGCCTCGATCTCATCGAGTCTTCAATGTACAACGTTGCATAAAAATGTTTAATTGATCATCAAAAAGCGGTGTGTGTTTGTAAGTGTCGCTCTGTGTGTGTGTTTTTGCCAAATTGTCTCCCGTGGAGTCAATCGCGTACAATAAAGCAGCATTATGAATCGCTAAGAACCGCATTCGTACAAATCGTAAACATACTAAAATCTAAATCTCAACCACTCGTCTAATTATGCACTCTAGCCTTAGTTTATTGCATTCGCAGCATCCGCAGGGGCGCGACCTCCCGCCCCACTTGCATCTTCTCCTCGTCCACCTTCTCTTCGGGTGCTCCACTTTCGCCTGGCTGGGCTTTATCTTCTCTGGTGCGGCGCAGGCGCTCCGCCGGCGTCCTCTCAAATGGCGGCGCTCTCACTGGGCTTTTTGCCGCTGCCACTGGCGCCGCTACAGCCGGCGTCGCTGTCCCTACCGCTCTCTTCTGAAAAATGGAGTGAATTAGTTGAGTGACATCAGAGTGGAATGTGGGACTGTTGATTCAGACTGCGAGCTGTGAAGGTGTACATGGTTTTAGGCACTTTCAGCAGAACTTACCAACTATGGCAAAGGAGTCCGAGTCCGAGGTGCCCGCGGGCCAATCGATATCCGGCATGGTGGGCCAGTCGATGTCCTCCGTGGTGTCCCAATCGACCGCACGTGTTTGACTAATCTCGAAGAGAGCCGGCGAGCAGAGGCTGAGCACCTCCTCCTTCAGCTTGGTTAACAGGGACTCGAAACTATCACTGGTTTTGCAGAGGAAACAAACCGCCAGCGAGGGATCCATGGCGGAGAAGCTCAGGCGAGCAGCATGCTTTTGATGGTAGGTCTCGTCGTAGTCCTGTTCTGCCACAGCGGTTTTCTGCCCCACGACGCCTGTTCTTTGCGTGGTATGGGGATCCAGGTAGAGCACCTCATCATCCACATAGCCCAGGAAGTACAGAGCCTGGTTTGGTCGACCTCCTATCATGCCACAGCTGCTGTCTAGTTCAAGGCAGCGCTTTAAGGCAGGCACGTAAAGCGGGTTAATGTCTGTGATGCCCAGGCGCAGGGGGATTATGAGAAGCAGTGGCTTCCATGAACCTCCTTCGCGACACGACGAATCTACAAGGTGTCCAATGTTGTTAGGGCAATTGTCGAGAAATTCAGACCACTTATCACACTTACACACGTCATCCAATACCACTGTGCTATCCATCGCCACGTGAATCGCCAGAGAGCTCCAGTCATCGAAGCGCACTAGTTTTCTGTAATGACCAATTGATTAGCCCAGTTATCCAGCGTATAAAGCACAATGTCTTGGTCTTACTTGAGAATCTGGGCTACTGTATTCGGTCCCAGCCACTCGCCGACCGCTTTGTTCTGTGACTCTCCCATCTGGGCGATCTGGTGTATGGAGTAGAAGCTATTCCTCACGTCTTCAAAACGGTTCACAATCTTGAGGTAGGTGGCATCACGGCAGTCGGCCGTCCAGAACCAATCGCGTCCCAAATGTAAGTCGATCAGGGCCTGGGCGAGAACCATCTGACCACAGCGCAGCATGCAGCCCCAGCCCTTGTCCGTGGTGAGCTGCACTTCTCCCAGCGGCGAAAACCCATGGCGATATGTGCACCACAGCCGGGACTGAATGTCGCGTCGGATGAGCTCGAGCTCTGAAAAGGAAAAGGGTGTTTTTATTTCATGTTGAAATGTTTTCATGGCAAAGTGCTTTCCGTGTTGGGAAACCCCTTATGACTCATCCTGACCAATATGCTAGATCGGTTCCCTTATGACCCCAACCCAGAAGGCCTCGTCTTACCCTGTATGGCGTTGTACTTCTTTCCCAGGACCCAGACATCGGTGTTTCTCCGGGGAATGTCCTCCGGCTCTCCGCTGCCCACCGCCTGGCCAACGGCGCTGGCAAGGACGCTGTCTGGGCCCAAGTACGCCTCGAAGACACTCTCCATGATCCGCGCTAGCTGGTCGCTGAGCCCAACCAGCATCTACTGCCCGGTGCGCTGGCAGAAGGAGAAGGGTGTGGACACCAGGGCCTCCGCTACTCGTCTACGGACTAATTGCCTTCCAATGACGTTCTGTTTTTCGGCTGGCCTTTGTTGTGGCCTTTGTTTGCGCTGGCAGCAACGGCAATGCTCCTGCTTCTGGCCCGGGGTCACAGGTGCTTCATTTGTTGTTGGCAGTGACGGGCGCTGATTTCAAACTATGCGATAACCAGCATTTGATCAGTCTGCGGCTCGTTTAGTTTGGTTTATTTTCCTTTTTTGTTGATTACAACGCAGTGACGTAGCTCTTAGTATGACCGCATCTGATAAGGCATTTTACGGCGCAAAAATACCGAACGTTCCACTTAACATGGCAATAACATAGGAAATAACAGTACTTTCCATGAAATGCTTAATGTTTTTGAAAAAAAAACTATGTAAATATTTCATTATTATTTATTTAATATTTTAAACAAGTATAGTTCAGTAACATTGTAAAAACTGTGAAATTGCACTTGCAAGACTTCAAATTAGCTACGCTACCTTAAGCGCGCAGAATTTGTTGTTCAAGTCGAAGAAGTCGTCTTCGGGATCTGCATCCTTGACCATTTCCGCATTGGGATCCGCGTTGGACTCCTTTAACGCCACTTTCCTGGCCGCCTGGCGCTGCTTCTTCAATCGCTTCTTTTCCAGGGCCTTCACCGCCGTCGGATCCACCTCCAGTCGCTTCCAAGATGGTATAAACTCCGCGCACCAGTCGTACAAATAGCAATAGAAATCGAACATCATCTTGGAGTCGGGCAGCAGAAAGTTCTCAATATGGAAGCGGACATCGGCACGATTCCTTAGTACATCGTACATATTGTAGAGAAAAGCGCCGCAATAAAGCTGGTTCATCCTTGGGCTCAGAAGCGGAAAATCCAAAAGTGAATTGAGCCCATTGAGTTGATAAACCACAGCCTGAAACTCGGCAAATGCGTGGATAACCGTGGTGGAGTACAAATCGAACTTTTTCTTGAAGATCTCCTGCATATGGAAATGCGGCAGCAGGCGTTCCTGTGTTAAATAGCAGTCCGATTTCGGTACATGAGCCATCCGATCTGGAACAGAAAGCTCTAGCAGAGCGGGTTTGATGCCGCGCTTGATTCCCTCGGCAGCTTCCTTATCTCTCACCGCTCGCTCTGCCTTCAATGTCTTGCCAAATCTCTTGAGAAAGGATTTCACCTCTCTTTCAGCAGGGATTTTAACGTCTATGGTTCGTAAAACAACCAAACTGAGGATCAGCGAGTGCAGATGCAGCAAGTCGCAGTGCTCAGAGCGATGCAGCCAGTAGATTATAGCCAGAAAGTACAGCCGCAGATCCTCCGGCAACTGATCGAGCTTACTGAACAACTTCTCCGTGTCCGCATGAGGAGCATTGTCTTCGAATACAGCTCGTAGATGCCTGGCATCCGGTGAAAGAGGATCAAACGCATAGGCAGGCTTCTTTTCAATGGGCATCTGGAAATACCGCACGTTGGTTATGCGAAGAGCTCTGGTGAGGTAGGTGAGATAGGGCATAGGCGAACCCTCCGTATCCAATTGTGGCTCAGTTTTCTCGCCCTCTACGTGATGGAGAAGAGCGAAGACGTAGTTCAGGATTGGTAGGGCCAGTTCATTGGAGTCGTGAAAGGGAAAGTGCTCGATCTGTGGGTTGTTGATGTATTTGCGCAGGTGCATAAGGTCCACGAAGCAGCGCGGCAGGTGAGCGGGGTATAGCTTGTCCAGAAACCATTGTGGGAAGAGCAGGGTTTTGTCTTCCACTTCCAACTCAAGACCTTCATCCGCCTCCTCTTCTTCCTCCGCATCATCACCTGAATTTTCGTCTTGTTCTTCTTCCTGCTGCCCCTCATCTTGGTTCTCAGCTTCCTCCAGATCCTCGCCTTCTTCAACTTCTGATATGCTTTCATCGAGGCTGTCCGAATTTTCATCGTCACTGACGGGCTCTATATACGGAAAAGCATTCTCGTAGTGCTCTTCGAAGTAATCATAGGCGTGGCATAACTCATTGGAGTAACCAGAAATGGCTGCATTCACTTGGGACACCAGCGAATCTCGCTGGTTCTGCAAAAATTCAAATCAATATGAATCGTACATAGATATCTCAAGCAACGAACCTTTTTCAGTCTCGACAGCACTTTAGCCAAAGCAGACTCCGCCGTTTCCTCCTTCAGCCAGGTTAGGATAACCTGTATGCGCTTCTGCTGGAGCTTTAGTTTGCGGCTTCGTCCTGCCTTGCCCATTCCCGCGGCGAAAAAGTTCTTGAAGGCGCTGCGGGCAATATAGTCATTGCCCAGGAGGGCGGCAAAAAGGGGCAGCTTTTCGGGACTCAGAGTTCCGCGTCCGCAGAGATGGGACACCCGGTAGATGCAGCAGTCGAGGTACTTGTAGGTCTTTGAATTTCCTTTTGAGGTTGCTGTCTGATCTGAGGTTTGTATACCAGCCACAATCTTGTTGGCCCTGGTGCGCTTCTCCACGTGCTTGGCCTCGCAGCGTCGAAGATCCCGACTGTCCTTCTGGTTGCTGTTGCTCTTGTCCTTCACCTGTTTGGTTAGCACCTGCAGCACACGGAATCGTTTACAATGTGTTGGGATCCAAATAATTTATGCTTTACCTTGACAGTCAGCGTGATCAGCGGGATGTACTTGACGTTGTGGATGTAGAAATCCGAGTCGTAGGAGAGCACTGGGCAGTTGAGTTTCCTGGCCAGAGCAGCCAACTCGTCGTCCGCCTCAAAGACGCACCTCATCACCGGGACGCCGCAATCGCGCACAGCATCCACGAACACCTCCTTGAGGTGCAGGGGAAACAGCGTGATGGAGGCATTGGGGTTTATCTTCTTGATCACGGAAATCTTGTTCCGCAGCCGGGTGCTCACTGTCCTCAGCTTGCGCTCCTCGTACCCGCCGTCCATGAGGACATACGGCCGGATGTTGCACTCGGCCAACACCTGGAAGAACTGCAGCACGGCGCGGTAGAAGTCGTCGTAGTCCCCGCCGAAGGCGGAGTAGCTCCCGGTGACATCCTTGTACAGATTGCAGGACAGGTTGTCGCCATCGATGACCAGCGCCGTGGAGTGCAGCTCGTGGGGCTTCAGGTAGATCTCCGCGCGCTGTGCTATGTAACTGGTTAGGCCGCGGACTCCCATTTTCGCGGCCCTTGCTGATTCGCTGCGTTTTCCCGCTTTCCGTTTTTTCTATTTTCCAATTTTCCTATTTTCCGCAAACTTCAAACGCGTGCTAATAGTGATTTCACTACCGTGCGATACTATCGGTGTAAACATCGATTTTTCAGTAAGACCGTTTGCTGGCGTTTGGTATATCTGAGCCAGTAAGTTGGTATCTATGGCATTTGCCGCAGCCGGACGGTATAACTCGGCGATGGCGCTGCGGTCACACTCTGTCCCAACTATTTCAACCCGACGCTTGTCTGCTCTCCGCCCGCGCATCAAACGTCGAAAAATCGTAACGTCGCGAGTGCTACGGAGGCCAAAAGGAAAATTCGCCAGCAATTAGCAACACTTGGACTGCCAAACAAGAGGAAACTGGGAAATATAGGAGCACAAACACACCGAGTGCAGTCGAAACCGACATCGCCATTGAATCAAAGAGCGCGTGCATATATACGGGTTCCGTTGGTTCCGTTCCGTTTCTTGTCGCTTTTTCTTGCACACACTTTACCACTTTACCTTTGCGTCTCTCGTTTCGTGCGTGCGTGAGTGTGTGTGTGCGCGGAGTGTGGTGTGCGTGCGTGTGTGTTGTTTTTGTGTGTTCGTTTAACTAAAGCACAGGTAGAAGGAAAAGCAACGGAGAAAAGAAAACCATGGTCGAAATATGAATATGAAATTAAGTAAATACAAGGCGACAGCAGCAGAAAACATCCAGTAGCAACGAAAAACAACAACACACGTTAATAACTTAACTTTGTGCGTCTTTCGTCTGCGCTTCACATAGTATTATTTTTCTCTTGGATTTTCAACACAAAAACACCATGAGTGAGCGAGCGAGAGCGAAGATCGTGATCACCGTATCGTGAATGAATTTTTGTCAGTGTGTGCGAGGCGTGCTCTACGCACACACACACGTACGTAAACAACACAACCACACACGGCCAATCGATCACCTGTGTGTGTGTGCGGCATTTAATAAATAATTGTGTGCAAATAAATGTTCCAAAAGGAAATTGTTAAACCAAACCAACGAGAAACGTAAATCAACAGTGCGAAAATTCGTCCTCGACTTCAAAACAGACGGTTCAATAGCCAGCGCGTGTGTGTAGAATTCTTCTGGAGGCTTGGAGCGTCGTTTTACGGATACGAAACATCTATACTTGCCTCTTTGCCGAAAAAGGTGAGTTCAAATCAAGGGAAAATCGCTTTCCCATTGGCCAAGGCCGTTCCGGGAAATCTGCCAGTGGTCTCGGCCCACGGGCCACGTTTCCTGTCTTCCGCACATTTTCACACGTCCTGCAATTGCAATTTTCCCGATTTCCCAACTCTGCACCTCGTGTATGTTCGGCGATTCCCACGCCTCTTTTTCGGGGCAGGTATTCGCAGGTAGCCGACGAGGAAAAACCCTCGGGAAACCCGATAAACTACAGAAAACCTCTGTTGGTGGCCCGAGAAAACCAGAAAAAATGAAAGAATTGAAATGTTTTCCCTGGCTGCTGAAACAGAGAAAATCGGGCGAAATTAGCCACCCGCTGATTCCAGAAAATTGCTCGAGTAATAGGAACATCTCACTGGGGGAGAACTAAATCATTTTTATTATCATCTGCAGTTGCAATTTGGCACAATTTCGATATGACTGCTTCCATTTGCCCGTCGATTATGTAATTTTCGCCGCTGTGCCGGCGAATCAGGTTGATTTTCCATACAAAAAGGGTGCAGATATACATATTCATATGCCGACGATCTGGCGACCGCCGACAGTTGCCAGCAATTTCCGGCGCTTTTTGGCAACTGGAAATCGAGCACAAAAGTTCATCCCAGGGCTTAGAGGGCCGCAAAAGGCGTTGCCATATTCACCCCATCCCAAACGCATTTCCCAAAGTGGTTTATAGTTTTCCTACAGCTGTTGCGACTGCGATTTTAACGATTTTTACTGGTAATCCGGGGAGGAAATGAAGTTACTGCTGGTTCGACAAGTTGATACCACTTAGGGAACTGGTTTGGTTGTTCAAGCAAAAAGCAAATATTACAGAGCGTGATTTTGTTAGTTTCTCAAACCCCGTCCTTTCTATCCTTCCCGCTCTTACTTAAGTGCATCATACCCTCGTGTACCCTGTAATCAGTGGGCA